AGGCTCTGTTATGCATACTTGGCATTGCATGCACTGCTATACCATTTTTACGTAGAAATCAAAAACAGACTTCTACGTATGTAGTGCTGTGCGTTCGATAACCGATTACACGCGCGGCTCATTTAACAGATTTCTTATGTGACAGCTCTCAAGCCATGCCAAGTATGCATAACGGAGCCTTCAGTTACTAACCACCGAAGCAAGGCTGAGCCACTCGCTCATCAGCCGCCAAAGCAAACGCGTCACATACACAACCCTCGTTTAATAAATTTAATACAGTGAACTGCGACTATTATTGTAAATAAACTTATGATACATACTGAAAGTATACCAAGCAGAAACTCGGTGTCTCATTAATACCCGAAACCTAAACAATAACGGAGAAACATTTACTTTTTCCGAATAAAGAAGAAGAAAATTTCGGGACCAAATCAATTTTTTAAAACCTTTGAATACGCCGCTGCAATTGCATACGTTTTTTTTTCACTGGTGCATAACTACATATCGCTCATTTACTTCAATAGTGTCATAATCCAAAAATTACAAATTTATTGTTGATTATTGAGTTAAATATGCAGAAACTACCGCTGCTTCTTCTTCTATGTTGTGTAAAAATGTTATAGATGTATTGATTACGAGTAGCCCACTAGAACAAAATATGTATTCATTTTTATCATCGGAATGTATGTATGTAAATTCAAAACTTTAAAGGCGTTTTCTCGAGTTTGGTTTTTTGAGTTGTGACACTGTTGAAGTAAATGAGCGATATGTTACCGGCCAATCCCGACTTTACGGCTAAACTAGTTTTGCCTAGGCCAAACTAGTTCTACCAACATGCGATAGGATATACCGATTTAGCGCAGGATAAACTGGTCTTTCCGAAGCCGGTTTGCACAAACCAGTTAAGTCTAGGCTGAACTAGATGATCCTGATATTAATGTACTTTCCAGTTTAAACTATGTGGCCTATGTTGATTGTGGGTGCAGAGATGAGCTGTGTTAAATATGCCTTACCTCGGGTGAGGCCAATAATTGATAAAGGATCGTAGCGAAAATCCATTGCCTTGCATGCATTTGAGAAGTGGTAGGTCGTACATATATATTTTCTGTCCTTTTTATGGGTAGGAAATCTAATGATGCACTTCAACGTGTGTTATTTTATTTAGCCGGCACTACTTTATTTTTTCTATTCACATATGATTGCCCACTATTTCTTAATCTTTTATTGTTTAGGTCTTTCCAATTTTCTATATTTATTTTCCTTTTTGACCCTCTGTTTGTCTTATTAAGAACACATGAATATTCATTTCTTGACATTTTGCACAGATAACATAAGCAACATGTAACGTTCTTCCACTGACTGCTTGCATTAGAGAGCATTTTGAGTGGGAATGCCTGCAGTAATTTGCTCAAATTTTTTTTTACAGACAGAAGAGAGTAATTATAACTATAAAATGCAAAAAAAACAGTTTTGAAAAAATTGTCGTTTACAACCTTATTCGCGAACATGCTTCAATTGATAAAGGATCGTAGCGAAAATCCATTGCCTTGCATGCATTTGAGAAGTGGTAGGTCGTACATATATATTTTCTGTCCTTTTTATGGGTAGGAAATCTAATGATGCACTTCAACGTGTGTTATTTTAGACATTATCCAGTAAAAGCTATATGTAACCATTTTGCTGGAATTTTTACTGGCTGGCGGTTTCTTGCAAAACTTGCAAGAAAGTAGCATAGTAGGGGAAATTGAGAGAGCGAAAATGATAGGTAAACGTGCAAGTTTTACTGGATTGTTACTGAATAAATTTTTACTAGTAGATATTTGCTAGTAAGAAATACAGCTGATGGCATGATACTGGGTGTAATTCACACTAATAAAGGAATTGTTTGTGGGGCTGTTATAGTTCAAATTTACAAAAAAAAAAATTAAGTGCGCCTGGGGCACACAGGAGAAGTGAAACTTACGTTACATATCTAGCTTACATCTATGTTTTTATCTTTTATATCCTTTCTTGCTTTTATCCTTTTCTTCATCTACATATTCTCCTAGTTGGTGTGACGTGCGATGACGTGATGAGATGCCATGTGATATAATGTGGAGTGACGTGATAGGATGGCATGTCATGCCAAATGATGTCAGCATGTGTGTCGATAGTAACATCGATAAAAATATCGATAACGAAACACATAAAGTTATCGATAACAAATTCGATAAGAATGTAGATAGAAATATCGATAGCAACATCGATAACCAAATCGATAAAAATTCGAAATCAATTTCAATAAAAAAATCGATAACAAAATAAATAAAGATATCTATAACAAAATATATTAAAATATTATGGGGCTTTGAAAGATATGAGCAAGTGGAAAAGCTTCTACGTTTTTTTCATAAAAAACTTATTTTTCTCCCACCTAACATGCCGAACTATATGCTGCACCTTGAAACGGGTATCTTTTTATACATGCTTTTTATAGTCAGATGTCTGAACCAGTGTGACCGCGGGCTTGTGAAAAATTGTAGCAGAAAAGAGTCTTAAAATGTATCAATATGTATCACCTTTTTTTTCATTTAAGTACCAAAGCATCAATATGGAATAAAACCAATAATTTTATGAAAAACCATTTTCCAAAACAATTTAACATTTATTGCACGAGCAAGCTGAAATTATTTACCGAATGCGATTTGCGCAATTTCAGTTGCAGTTACACCTTGCAATTTTTATTGCCTACCAACTTTTGCGTGTGGGCACTTTGATGTCTAGATATGTATAAGCATTTGCCGCATGACGCTGCCAGACAACATTCTCTCAATTTCGTTGTTAAAAAACATTTAAATCTTAAACAAACTTACTGAATAGCTTCCTAAAACGTTGTCATAAATAATCCAATAGGGAACAGAGTCTTATTTTGATTTAATATTAATATTTCATCTATATAACCACCAGCATGCTTTCTATCAAGTGAAAATATGGCTGTCAAACTATCAAATTGCCTGCAATAGATGTCAAGCAATAAGGCGGTATCCATTGGAAATATATTTTGTGACATGGTTATCACGACATTGGTGTTTTCCTGTGGAAACAGGGCTTTACCGAGCACCGAGTTACCGAGTACCAAGCCCTAATTTCNATGGTTATCACGACATTGGTGTTTTCCTGTGGAAACAGGGCTTTACCGAGCACCGAGTTACCGAGTACCAAGCCCTAATTTCTGTTATTGAACATAGCGAAAATAAAAAATGCAGCGCTATGATACTGTTCGTTTGTTCACATTTTGACGTTTTTCGACATGGATCATGAATCACAATCAGTGTTGCCGCGCATAATTTTTAGTAGTAGCCAAATTCCTTTAAAAAAAGGGCTAAAAAAGAGCCAAAAAAAATCGTTGTGACTAAAAATCGTAGCTAAAATTGTTTACTTACATATACATTTATAAGTATATACGTAAACATTTTCAATAAGTAATGGTATATAAAAACAATGAACTCTGGAAAAAAGCTAATATTTTATCCAACCAAAAACCTTTTTGTATAAAAGGGGAAATATGCGACACCAGCTTGGTGGTTCCATCAAGTGATTGTACCATCAGGCTCGAAGCATATAACTTACCAGCATGTTGGTACAATATTTATTTCTTTAAAAATGAGGTTGAGGAAAGATCGAAATGATTAGAGCCGAAATTTCATAATTTTTCAGGCATTTTGTTAAGCATTGTTTTTTTTTGTAATTCACAACGTCAATATCGTGAACGTAATCTTCCACAAACACGGCTTTGACTCATAAAGGGCAAGAAATTTCCGCCAAAATACTTTTTACTTAGAAAATTTAGCTAATTTCACCACTCACGACACCAGTATGCTGGTACAATCACACCACAAGAACATACACGGTCAATCGACTTGATGGGTCGTTTAACAAATTTGGCATATTAAGGTCCGTGAACTCATCTATTTTAAACTATAGTTAAATCGCCCCACACTTTTACAGTATGTATGGATGAAAGCGTGAGGAGCATACGATACATATATGTACATATATCAGTCTTTCTTAGTTTAAAAATTCATCTCTTACATGACTGCAAAAAAAACAAATTAAGCATATACAACGTTTTCATGCCAAGTATGAATAAATTCTAAAAAGGGCAAAAAAAAGGGCTAGGGGCAATTTTAAATTTATGTGGCCAAAAAAAGTATGTGGTAGCTAAATTTAGCCACCAAAGGGCTAAAACGGCAACACTGATCACAATACATGAAAGGTTCGTTCAGAGAACGACAATGAACTTTTGGATGTACGTTGCCACAGGTGCACGACATGTTTTGTAATGCATAAAAATTTACAGATTTTTTTCATTTGTATTTGGAAAAGTATCAAAATTGAAAAAAAAGTATCTCTCCAAAATTCATCGAAAAATGTATCAGTTTTGATCCACTTGGATCAAAACGGTCACACTGGTCTGAACCTAGAAAACTCAAGGTTGCCTCGAATACTGGCGGAAGAGACGCTGCAGAAAGCTACTTATTGGGTAAAAGGCTGGAACGATATTGTCCATAAGGCAAATATGGAGGCTATAACAGACTTCTCTCCAAATGTACTAGGCAGTTACATCCCTACGTTACTGGATAAGCTTGTTAAGAATGAGTTCTGTATGTTTGTTGAATGTGCCCAAAAGTTAACTTCTCGTGACCTGTACCCACAGTTTGTTCCATTATCACAAACATATTTTAGTGATGAATTTAGCAAGAACAACATAAGTTTGATTCTTCGCGATTAGCTTTGTATAAGTATCTACGAGAAAGCTCTCAATATAGGAACTTAATAATTTATGAATCTTATTGAACATGTATCGATGTATTTATGTATTATATAGCGTGACATACAACACATCTGTTGTTTATTTATTTAAATTTAACCACGTTGTACTTGTTTTGAAACTAAATATTTTTCATAATGTATCTACAAGTTGAATAAATAAATATACTACTACTATTAAAATATCGATAATCAAATCGATAAAAACGTCGAAACCCAAATCGGTAAAAAATATCGATAACAAAATCGATAAAAATATCGCTAACAAAATCGATGAAAATAGCGATAACAAAATCGATAAAAATATCGATAACAAATTCAAAAACAATATCGATAACAAAATCGATAAAAATACCGGTATCAAAATCGATTAAAAAAATTGATTAAAATATTGATATAAATACCGATAAAAATATCGATAGCGAAATCGATAATTATATCGATAACAAAACCGATAAAATTATCGATAACAAAATCGATAACAGAATCAATAAAAATATCTAACAAAACCGTTAAAAATATCGATAACAAGATTGATAAAAATATCGATAACGAAATCGATAAAATTATAAAATTTTGCGAATATTTTATGATATCAATCGATACTTATGCAGTTCATACACCTCGCAAGTACTTAAATTGTCCAAATAATTTTTTGGGGCGTATCTATTCATAATCAAAATTTAGTTGGTTTTAAAAGTTGGTATACGGACGGCAGATTTTTGTCAAAAAGGGACTTGAGATAGAAGAATAGGTCCCCCTGATTTCAAAGCTAACCTCCATTTTTCTTATCAAGGGTATTTAACATTTCTTGTGCAAACGCAAGTAAAATGTGTGATTTTCGGTAATTTTTTAAAGCCTCTTTAGGGACCCATAGGATGCCTAGGCGGTCGTATTTGCATTTTTGTTAAAAATAATGCCTCCTAAATCATCTTCACCAGGTATCATTGGTTAATTCTGCCTGGTTACCTTATAATAAAGAGTGCAGCTCTATACAAAAGCCCACCCAAAGTTAATTGGAAATTTTTTGACAGACAACCAATTAAAAGTTATGTCCAGAAACTACAACTAACTTTAAGTATCAATTTAATTTTGACTATAAATCTGCCCCTTTGATTTTGAGTCAAAATCAAAATTTGAAATACGCAAAAATCACGAACTACTGAATGCACAGCACAAACCAAGGCGTTTTTATATAAGGTTGTGTTACTATATCAGCAGATTTTGTGTATGTGTTTCGCCTCACGGGTAATATGTAAAATCAAATTGAAATATTTTAGTTGCCCTCCAGATAACTTCGTGTAAAAACCTCTAAATCTGTCAAATAACAAAATTACTCTCTTGAAAGAGAGGAGTGAGCGTGAAATAATAAAAGTCACCTGGAACGCGAGAAACCACTTTTCCTGTAACTACTTCCATTATTTTTTTTTAATGTAAATCGCCATGGAGACGATCAAATATATCAACCGTCTCGCGTTATACCTGACAAAAAACAAGCGCACTTGCCTTCTGATCGTAGTGGTGAGCAAGTGCGCGGACAATGAAAAGAAATTGTTTGTTGCATCGACGCGTTTATTTTAACGTTTGCGGGCAAGACACCAGCCAACCTCACACATATCCAATGCTTGACGTATTTATTTGATTATCTCCGTGGTGCTTAATGTTCTTTGCTTTCTGTTTTTGGTTACAAATGCAACTTTACCTATCGTTTGACACTTCATGAACAGGAAGGAAAACTTCGGACTAAAACCTGCAACTTATGACTGAGAGAGAGTGCAAGTTACTCTTACAAAAGTGGTTTGACGTACAGGGTTTTTGGTACCTGGAACGCTTTCCTGCAAAAAAAACCTGCAAATCGTGAGTATCGTGAGCACCTGGAACGCAACTTTTGTTTGCACTTCCACACACACTCTTACAGATTTTGTCAGTTTACGCCGCAAAAGCAAAAACAAAATACATGTAAATTTATGTTTTTGTACTCCTGCTAACACCTTATATCAATTCGCTTTGGCACGTAGTTAAATTTGTACAGTTCGTTAAAGGTGTTCGTACACGATATGCATCTGTATCTGTAAATGTGACGTTTTCAATATATATGTAATTGCTTATGTCTGTCAAATTCACAGTCTTTATTTAACTATTTAAAAACACGTTCTTTGTAAACGAAATAAACTAAACTCAGATGATTCTATCTGTGTGTCAGATGAAAATAGAAACATTTCTATTTCGTATGTACGTGCATCTGCTTTGTACAGAAACAAATCTAATTTGCCTTTACACGATATGTTAACATTTCCATATGTAAAAAGTGGCATGTACACATGCAAATACATATAAATTCTCAAAAAGGAATTATTGTACCACAATAAAAAAATAAATATAACTGAAAGTCTTCTCAACTGGTGCAACGTCAATCGAAAATAATTTAAAATTTTGGCTGGAACCCGAAAAGGCAGCAACATTACTTTTTATTAAATACAATGTAGTATTTAAACATTCGCATCCGCGGATGTCTAAAATTCCACATTCGCAACATCCCTAATGTGTATACAACTTTGGTTTCGGTAGGGGTAAAATTTGCGAAGTTGTAACGCATAGCCCAGCAGAAAATTTCGAAGGGCTTAGCATGTGTAATGCAGCAGGAAATTTCTAATTTCATTAGAAGCATCATATGTTTACTTGCTATTGCAAATGGTTGTATACATTTAGGCATACAGAGNCATCCGCGGATGTCTAAAATTCCACATTCGCAACATCCCTAATGTGTATACAACTTTGGTTTCGGTAGGGGTAAAATTTGCGAAGTTGTAACGCATAGCCCAGCAGAAAATTTCGAAGGGCTTAGCATGTGTAATGCAGCAGGAAATTTCTAATTTCATTAGAAGCATCATATGTTTACTTGCTATTGCAAATGGTTGTATACATTTAGGCATACAGAGAGTAAGAGGAAATGCGGTACATATGATTATTACTTCCGATTATGCAAACACCGCGCATGCATACGGCTATGTACCATACTAGGGATGTTCATTTTTTCGATTTTTACGATCCCGGGATTTTCGGGATGTCGTTGGTTCAATCCCGGGATCTCGGGATCAGTCCCGGGATTTAGATATTTATTATTTTTCAACAACTTAGATCGAAAAAAATCATCAATATGGTTTGAGAAGCTCACCTATCATATAGGCTGAATTTCTTTATTCATTCTGAACGGTTGGAATAAACTTTTTTGTTTACTTATTCTTTAGAACGTTCCTGATGATATGTTAACGTATATTTCAAACACATTCTGTTTATTCCGGCTGTGAAATGAGATTATCCGGAATGTATAAAGAAACGCAGCCATAATAAATAATAAGTAAAGTGAAAATTATTTCATAAGTAACAAAACGAAAGACAGTAATTAAATATATATATGCATTTAATAATACTTTAGCATGTACATATCGTCGCTTGGTGCGCAAAACCTCGTATACGTCAAATGCAATACCACGTACACGATAGTCTGAAAATTTCACAAAAGTGCAAATAAACTTATTTGCTTCTAAACTTTTGAATGATTTTTTAACTGAACTTATTAAATATGAGCTTTTACTAAAATGATTGACCATTAAATTTGTGAAGTAGGCAAGCGCTGAGACAGGGTACCGAAAATAATTTTTTTTCTCAGCCACCTCATACGTGGTATTGCATTTGGCGGATATGAGGTATTGCGCGCCAAGCGACGATATATGATGAAATAACTTAAGTTATGTCGAAAAAAGCTTGATGCAAAAAAATTAATTCAAAAAGTTCATAATTCTAGTGGCAGAAATAAAAGAAGCGCTTTATTTCGACTAGTTTTATATATATTCCTTTTGCTTATTCATTATTTAAATTTTTGTATAAAAGTCTACCTCATATTACATATAATTAAATGCAAATAAATGGGCATTTCCCTGACGTCACGATTTTTTTTAAAAGACTTTATAATTTCAAAGATATGATTAATTCCAAAACTTGTTTAATAAATTTAATGCAATGCATGATACAATAATTTTTAGAAGGTACTTTCACTTCTTCTTATACGCCATGTTAGCTATCTGACCAAAAACGTGTTTCGTATTTTTTGTTGTACCAACTTAAAAAAAAAAAATCCAGCTTTTGACGTTGGAAAAATAAATAATAATTTTCGAATATTTTTTAAGAATTTGCTTCATAAAAAATTAACTGCTGCTTTCGTGGATATTGCAACACACGGAATAGATGTAAGGATACAGCTATAAGAGCCACCGCATACCACAGACTTTATCGGCCGCCTATTTAAATAGTAAGGCTCGCTTTAAATATGTACATGAAGATGTATGGAGGTGTGTACACTACACCAGCTTAATCGCTCCGAGAAATAAGTTGTGGTGCAATGGAAAGACTAGCGAGCATTAGGGCACACAAGGGGTGGGTTTTGGGGTTCAAACCCCCCCAAAAGCTAATAACCTCAAATACAATCTGTATCTTAAAGCTAAGAATCCAGCTCTCAAGGAAATTATAAGAAATATTTATTATAATTTCTGTTGCTTGAAAAAGCGCTTTGCTTTTGCTGTAAATTTTCATGAGGGAATAAATATACGAACATTTTTTTTCTTGCGAGCTGCAAACTGATTTAAGAAATTTTGGTAGAACAAAATTTCTTTTCCATTTCTCGTCCGTCCTTTTATATGAATTTTTCGTTTTTCTTGAGAGTTCAGTTAATTTTTTCGGTATTTGAAATATTAAAAAAATTTAGCAATCGTGAAAAATCACCATCTCTATCGAAAACCAGAAATCGAAAAAATGAACATAGAAGTGCAAAAATTCATGGAATCAATAAATTTAATTTTACTGCCACTTTTTTAGGNAGTTGAGCGCATCTTGAGTTTATAGAACTTTTTATTAAACAAGTAGTTTTTAAGGAAAGAACACAACCGACTTCAATTCTCATATTCAAATTTAGGGGTACCGTTAATTTCTTCATGATCCAATCATCGGATCTCTAAAACAAATTACGGGACGACTATCGACGACTATTACGGGACGGTACTATCTTTCTAATAAAAAAAGGATTATTGAAAACGGTTCACGTGGTCCAAAGTTATGTATTCCGGCGAGATGATAACCTCCCTTTTTTTTGAAGTCGGTTAAAAGCGTTTGAGTTCTGTTAATCTTTATTTACAGATGCAGTTTATGAATTTTAAAACGTTTATTTATTTATTACATACTGTACATAAAACTTGCATAAATGTATTTTAAAGAGGGTATTATCTGAAGCAAATTTTCAGTATTTTCCGGTGATATATTTTCAGAAATATAAAACCCCCCCTAAAATATATTCCTGGGTGCGCCCCTGCTAGCGAGCCCATCTAAATCGGCGGCCGATAAAGTCCGTGGTGTGCGATGGATCTAATCCATTATAAACAAGAAATATTGCCGTTATATTTTCATTTTTATGATTTTTATTCATGTGATTAGCAGTGGCAAAAATTTATGTATTAAATACGCATATTTATATTAAAAATTAAGTGATCAGTTATGAAACATATAAATCTTTACATGTTCTGTTAAAAAAAATCTAAAATAACAAGCGAAAATCCCCAAGTTCTATATCGTAGCAGTGGCCACATTGCGTGTTTGTCACAGACACGGTTTATGTCAAAAATTTTGAAGTGAAACTACCTTCTAAAAATTATTGTATCATGGTGCAATGTAAAGAAAAATATGGATATCAAACGAGAGAAAACATTCTGTAGAATTTAAAGCAATCGAAAACTGTGTTTCTCTTTGTGTTAGAATCCAACGCAAAGTCACAAAAAAGTACAAATTTAACGATTTGAAATGCCCAAAGTGCTAATACATATGTAGGCACCGAGTGTAAGGTTGAAATTGATTGAAAATGTGTATGTACATGGGCGTAGCCAGGTAGGGGCGGGGGGTGCTCGAGGCCTCCCCCCCTAACTTTCAAATTTTCCTTATATATATATAAAATAGTACCCTGAAATGCCAGCTTAATAGGGTCGAGCCCCCCCTAAATTTCATTCTGGCTACACCGATGTGTATGTATCTACTGTAGAATTTTTTGAGTTGACAAGGAAGAATAGGAATGCCCCTTTAATCTATCTTATTTTTTTAAGCTAATAAAGTTAGTCCTTTTTTTTTTAAATAAGAATTGCAAAATTTCAAGGATATTCAAGGATAAAATTATAAAAGGGCATTTTCAATACCTGCTCGTCCCTTACGCCCCAAAAAATGTTATCTGTTTTAACTTTACAGAATCTTCTCTTTAATTTTATACCCATATGGTTTTTTAAGTATATTGCACTGAATTTTTTAAATATTTTTTGAATTACCCATATCTTTAAAATTTCAAGGTTCTTTTAAAAAATCCCGACGTCAGAGAGAAAAATTTAGAACGCAACTTTACTGTATTTGGCCCTTGGTTTCGCGAATATATTGCTTTTTTGTGTGTAAAATTACCTGTCGCAAGGTATTATGTGTATATTGGGCTACAGATTTATAAAAAAAATTATTAAATATTAATGGCCTTATTCATAAAAAATAAAGTAGCTTTACATAATGTTTATAAATTTAAAAATGTATGGCAACGTCAATTTATAAAGCTCTTTAAACCTACTTTATTTTTTATGAATAAGGCCATAAATATATAAAAGGAAATATAGCCAAAACTGGTCAGCATAAGGCGTTTCTATTATTCCCGCCAGTGTAAATTACAAATCCCGAAAATGCCGGGATTCTGGGCAAATAATCCCGGGACTTTCGGGACTTAAAAAAGACCGGGATCCCGGAATTAACATTCATATACCATGCCTATGTATACATACTTAAGATTTTATGTACATTACGGTGACCATCCGTCCTGTGTTATACGGGACAGTCCTCTTTTTTCGTCAGATGTCCTGGTAATTTATTTACTTCATACGGGACGCCAAATGTTCTATATTTCTTTTAATGTCCCTTATTTGTCCCGTATTCGGTATTTTTGCGCCTTATGAGCTCATAAAAATGGCATGCCTATGAACCAGTTTTTATTTTTAAATCTGGACGCTTGTGATTCGAAGGATTCGAGGAGCACATATGTAGATGATTTCTGAAGTTATAATTTTGCTTTGAAAACTTGGTATTTGTGAGTATGAATAGAAATTAGATGTTAATGATTCTTGTTCAAATTTCTAAAAGAAATTTCACTAATATCACTGGTTTACACTAAAAAAAAGTTGTAATCAGGACGATGCTATTTAGCCATCAACGTGAAACTTTCGAGCATCTATTTTTCCTCATTAACAATCTTATCTCAATGATAGTTTTAATTGTTACATAGAAATATTTTTCGTTGTTATATTGAAACCATCTCTACTGATCTCAATTTGATATTGTTAAACTTGTTAAAACTTGTCCTTGAGTGTACACAGTTGAGCACGAAAGAATGTTGCTCATACGCCGCGTACACCTAAGTAACAGGCTTTTCTGCTCATATTTCATACAAAAAATCTTGCGCATTTTTATTTGACCACTCCTTATTTCGTATTTATCCATCGATTTTCTTCATCAGTAACTTGATTTTTTTTTTGTAACAGAACATGCTTTAGTACAATTGCAAAAATTTGGCTCAGGACCTGTTATTTTTTAGATTTTTCTTCTGTTAAAGCTTGATTTTTTTAAATTTTTTCATTAAAAAATAAAAAAAGCTGGAATGATTAATTAATTTGTCAGAAACTATAATCCTTATCGGAAAGTGGTGTATATACGGTTTATGGAGAATTTCATTTGCTTTCATTTTTATTTTATATTAAGATTTTTAAATTGGTTCGTAAGATATACGTGATTAAAAGGAACCCATTCTTGCTTTAAGCTGAATAACGGTGAATTGCAGATATCTCGAAAACGTATTCATAGAAAAAAAATTAACCAGAATTTCAGAATCACGAAGCAATTCTAGAAATTGGATACTGGCATCTGGAGGACAAAAATCAAATTAAAATTTGTGATCCAGTGCAAGTATTTAGCTTTTCAAAGGTTTTTTTTCAACGCATTTCACGTTGAATATTCTGTGTGGAGCAAAGAATATTGAGTAGGTAGCAGCAGTAGAGCAGCTGATTTTACTTTTGTCGCGAGTTTCGTCTTTAAATTGTAATTTTTGTTTAAATTTTACTCTAAAATTTCAAACTTTGTCTACGTATATGGATTCCAAAACCATTGTTTTTTCTCGGATACTATTTCCTCTCCAATGTGCCGTGGAGTGAAGGCAATTTTAAAATTTTGTGAAGGGAGAATATGTTCATTAGAAGAAACTACGGCAAAAAAATGTTTGCTCATTGTATGAGGGATTGTATCTGCGACATGAGAAACTCCCAATAAGAAGGCTACTATGAGAATGTTGTAAAGTAAATAAGTTCTCAAAGATGGAAGGGAAGTGGAACCCTTCGAATGCGTTGAATACCACTTGTGCTTCGGATATTTTCCCTGCCTAGGAATGTTTGTAACGAATTTTATGGAGCAAAAATCCCGAGCACAAAGTACAAAGTTATGGAAAAATATTTTACAAATGTGTGATGTTGCAACTGAATATTTATGTGCTGCGTTCACAAAAAATCGAAAAATATATGCTAAATAAAGATGCTGTTTCAGGGCTAATAAATCTAGGATCATTGAAAAAGAAAAAATTGGCAAAATTATATTTTGGCCCGTATTCGGCTGGCATAAGTATGGTCATCGTAATGTACATACATATGTATGAACTCATTTGTTGCTAGTGGTTTTGATATTCGTAGCATGGTTTTAGGCATAGGTTTAGCAATGTATTGATAAAAAAGCAAGGAAAAAATTAAAAAAATACTGAAATCGTTTAAACTGGGTCTGTTGATAGCTGATGAACATATAAGAAAATATGTATACATACATATGTATGGATGATATATAACTCTGTAAAATCCTGTAAAAATTTCAAACAGCAAAATTACTCTATGAAGTGAGAGTAAAAAGTGAGTAACAGCAAAAAGTACAGAAACAAAAAAAAGCATCGAGTAAAATCTTGCGACTTCATTCTCTACACAACTCTCCAAAAATCGCTCTCATTACAGGATTTTGGAGTACGCGATCATTTTTCCCGTAACTTACTGCAAGTTCGTGTAAAAATCTGTAAGTTCATTGAGTACTGGATCAGAGCTAATACAAGATTGCGCAAAGAGAAGACGAGAGTAAGAGGAAATGCCGAACAAATGAATTTAGCTTCCCATTTTGCAAACAAAAGATGGTATGTTATATGTATTCATAACTTTAACGTAAACCTAGCGACAGATGAAGCAGTACCACAGATTAAATTCCTAAAAGAAAAACTAAATTTAGGAATATATACAAATAGAAATGCTCAAACTAAAAGCTCAAAAACAGTAAGTTTTCAAGATATTTTAACGCCCTTGAGTCACAAGTATATACAAGTGTCATATTTTATCAATCATACCGATAATTCCATGTATTAAAAGAATGAAAATGAAAATAAAAAAATTAAGTCAGCGAAAGGAATAAAATTAAGTGAAGTTAATATTTAATTTCTAACCTAACCTTCATGTGTATGTATGTAACTGAATATCCTAATAATAGGTTTACATATAAAAAGATTATCCTCATTTTTGCTCTTATCTCCCTTATCTGTAATTAGAAAAGGAGATTAGCCATACAAAATTATAATTATAAAATAATCTCAGATTAAACCGATAACTTTTTGCTGTCCAACCTAGTTTTATCGACTACACTTGCGAAGAAGCGGATGAATGCCCAATGTAAAGGGAACAAAAAAAATTGACGCTAGCAAGGAAAAGAGGGTTTTAAAGGTACTTTTAATAAAAAAGATAAAGAAAAGTACACGGAATCTTCTTGAAACCAAACAAGTTATACCATAGCGCGATAATGGATGAATTTTTTCTTGATTCTGACCAATCATGTACTTCTTCATTTCAACGTCGTTTTAAAGCTTAATATTTCTATGGATAACGTGCTGATAAATGTCCTAAAGCAATTTTTAATTTTAAATACATATGTAGTTCAATTTTTGAAGTTGATTTGCATAGTGAAGACCAGTAAATTAGGGATTTAAAATCATGCCATCGTAGTCCTTGTTTAATTCTAAATTGGGATTTTTCAAGAACTATTTTCAAAATCTTTGTTTTTTATGACGAGATGTGTTATTTTGTGATAGTGAGCAATATTTTGTAATTTGTTTTCGAAAACTTATGATGAGATATACCCATGATTTATGGCGTTTTCTTTTCTCGAAAAAAAATGTCACCTTTTTATATGGCAAAATTAGGAGGGTGGAACATTTTAAAGAAAGAGAACGCAATATGCATGTGAAGATACTGAGAAAGGAACACGAAAGCTTGACAGCCCTTGCGCAGGGCAGAATAAATGCAACATTATTTCGAGAAAAGAAAACGCTATTAATAATTAAAGGTTTGCTCATTATTGACATTCGAGTTTTGACACTCCCTTACAAAAGCTTTGCACACACACACGAACCCGAACACAGTGCCTTGCTAAGGGAGCCGATTTTGTCAAGAGGGAGTCAGAAAACTGTTTTCTAAGCTAACCTTTTATTATTGAATCATGAGATATACCTGGCAAGGTGTCAAAAAAAAGGTTTTTTCAAAAATGTAAATTTTTGTGTGCATTCCGGTGGAATACCGATCCAGTAAAAATATTTTTTTTTTCAGTAGCAAAATAGCACCCAAACTAATCGGTCGATTTTCTGCTAACTAAAAACCTTCCGAACAAAGTGTAACGTAACTCATATAGAAAGCGTGAATAGTAACCTTTCATTAACCTTCACTTAAAAAATAAATAAAAATACTTATTTGAAAAACTACAACAACAAAAATCACTATGAGCGATCCACCTGATGGCATAGGCGGTGAACAAAAATCACCTCATCCGTGCTTTGACATAGACAATACTAAAGAACTAAACAACAAAACACCCGGCCCCAAACACCTGATTTTGACAAGAATTAACTGTGAAGAAACTCTCTCTCTAGAGTTTCTCCTTTCTTCATAAAAAAGAGTAATAGACTGCGTGTGCGGTGAAGTTGATATGGCGAGAAAACAAGAAGTGGTATCTTACTCATAAAAACAAAAACATATGCTCAAGCCATGGTACAATAATTACAGGTATTCTCTTCCCAGAAAGCGCATATTCTGATCTGCCTTAGTTAAAAAAAATCATTGTTGCCCACACTAAACGGTTTACTGCTAGGGAAAAGGGATATTTCCATACCCCATGTACCATAGATGTATACGTATTTTTTAAACAAATCTTCTTGCAGAGAACTTATTTAATTTGCAGAAGGCGGAAAAGAACATTTGCTTGTAAATAAATTTAAAATTTGTATGGCTCACTTCATTTCAAACGTTTTTTCTTTTGTTTTGAAAAATTATAAAAATTAAATTGAGCGAAAACAAAAAGCAAAGCCAAATAAAAGTAGAAGAATCAACATTGAACTGCGTCAAAATGAAAATAAGGGGAGCACGAATTTCAATGAGAAGCAAAACTCTCTGGGAAGACAATACCTGTACTTATTGTACCATGTGCTCAAGCTAACAAACTTTTTAAACTCACTTCCCTTTCGCCTACAATCAAAGAAAATATTTATCTTAACTACCCCAAAGGCGTTATACACAATAACGATCTAGAGATGTAAGCGAAGAAGAGATTCTTAGCGAATTGAAAGCACAAAATGTTACCGACGCAAAAAAAAAAATCTAAAAAAAAAAAACAAAAAGACCCATTGGTAGAGACCGGCCCATAATACTCACATTCTCCGCTCTTGATTTACCCGAAGCGATCAACGTCGGCTACCAGAAAACCTACCTAAGACCATACATACCAATACCTCTGCGCTGCAAGAATTGTCACCGTTTTGGATATCCAACAAAATATTGAAAAAGTAACAAGACTTGCCCAAATTGTGGTGCTCTCGCTCACGTCAATTAAGAGCTTAACGAAATATGTTTAAGCGAACCAGCATGCAATAACTGCATAATAACAAACAACAAAGCGACCGTTCACTCAGCATACAACAAATCTTGTCCCATTTTCGTAATGCAGAAAGAAGTGTAAGCTATTAAAAACCTTCAAAAAGTTAGAAACAAAAAAGCAACAAAAATCTACAAAGAGAGACATCCAGACAAAGCATACAACAATGCTTTGAGAACTCAAGTCACATACAGCTAAACTGAGGACAGCAGACTAACGCCCCAACAAGCCAACACCACTAACCTATCGCAAAAAGCATACAAGGAAATAACACGAGCAATGAACAAATCAAAGGCAACGACAAGCAAACAAGTCGAAGGCGGAAGCAAAAACAAAATGGACATCAAAGTTAAAATTCTTCCAAGAAACACATCTAGCCGTTTAAAAAGACAACTAAAAGCAAAATCAACAAATGTAAGCAAATTATCATCCCAAAAGCCCAACAACAATTTAAGTGATTCCGACGACACCACTCTCTCTTATGATGAGTAAAATTATACACCAATCAAATAAACTAACACTTATCAGCCAATACATACATATTAGTAAAATCAACAACGAAAATACTAGATACTAATACAAGTACAAGACTGATAGTTTTTCCAATTCCTACTAGACATCAATATCAAATTTATTAAAAACTAGCAGACCCGGCGAACTCCGTCCCGCCTAAAATTAGATTTTTATCTTAAACATTTTGGTCCAACAGTTTCTCCAACAATCCACATGGCACATTCATCGGCTAAGACTATCATTTGCTGGTCGTTTGCCGCCTTAAATAGCCGCACGAACGGGTTATGTCCATGAGAAGTTCCCTGGTGGCAACAATGATCCGGATTTATATTGAATGTGCCCTAGAAACTTTATCTTGTTCAACAGAAATACAATACACATACATAAACTGAGATAAAATACCTTAAAAGCCAGTTTCGCGAAAGCAATTTAAAAGAAAAATGATTTTTTTCTGTCAGGTTCTATATTAAAAAAAATATACTATTTCCATTAAATTGCTTTCATGAAACTGGCTTTTACGGTATTTCGACAGGTGGTGATTTGAGATTTACCACTGCACAACTCAACCCTGGTTTCTTTGAATGAAGCTTTAACGCATAATAATATTGGCAAATCACATCCATTGGGCCAATCGTAACACACGAGAGTTCGATATACTCAATGGTGCAACAGGTCGATTTAGTCTGACATTTACGGCACCTTTTCTCACTTGTCGATTTTTAGTAATAACTTGACCTCAGCACCACCTGGCAGCTGTTTTTTGCAATTGGACTGCCTTTACCGATTCCAATTCATGTCTTGAATATTCGCCAAATCGGATCATAAAAAAGATTTTTAGTTATAACTCAACTTCAGCGCCAACTGGAGGATTAAATTGTGAAACTAATCTATCCAGAGACCCACTCAAACACACACACAAAACTTTGTTAAAATCCCTCCAGCCATTTAGGATTTCACTCCCAAATATACCTACAGAAGAATTATATACATATTCAAAGATAAGTAAAAGTCAGTACGCTTGTACTTTTCCACGCCCTCTTTTTAAAGAGCCCATTTTTCTCAATGAGTATGGGATTAATTTCATATATCTCCATACGAAGTGTTCCAATACTGTACCATGAACTCTTCCAGAGATATGCAGTATGAAATTAGGATTGTATGGTAGGTGCAACACTCTCTTTTCCAATATCTCCATATTTTCTCCATGACTATGCGATTAATTTAATATATCACCACACCAAGTTCCAGTACTCTACCAAGAACAATTCTAGAGATAAGCAATAGGTTAGGTTAGGTTGAAGTGGCTGCCAACATAGGAGAGAGGCACACTTAGACCCAGTGGGCCCGTTGTGATACCAATTGAGAGCTCGAATTCGAACCCGTCCGTTCGCCTAGAAGTGGAACCAGTTGGTTAGGTTAAGAAAGCGCGAGAATTCGTAAATTCCTGCTTCACTTAGATCCGCAAGACAATCAAAACGGTGGTGGTGAAATGAGCGTCTTCTCGCCCACATGAGGGCGGGGCAATGACAGAGATAGCGTTCCACACTCTCGATTTCGTCCTCGTCGCGGCAACCACGGCAGAAATCATTAGCCGGCAAACCCATTCTGCTAGCATGCCTTCCCATTAAGCAGTGGCACGTAATTATACCGGTCACCAGCCTTCTAGCCGAATGAGTGCGTCGGATCTTTTCTTGTCGTAGTTGGGCCAGATTTGTCGAGTCGTCCCACACGTGGGTTCTTCCGACCATCTTTTGTTTGCCCTCTCCACGTAGTATGTCCAGAGCCGTGTCTTACAGGTAGATAGGAGTATGCCCGCTGCATGAGAGGAGTTGACGCCCGACAGGGTGGTACCCTTCCGCGCAAGCGTGTCCGCCGCACAGTTACCCTGAAAGTCCCTGTGGCCCGGCACTCACTCGATGTGAGTAGTCGATTTTGAAGCTAGATCATTAAGGACTTTCCTACATTCTAAAGCAGTTGTAGATGGTGTCTTGCAGCAATCCAGTGACTTAATAGCTGCTTGGCTATCGGAGTATATGGTTACTGAAGGTAGATTAAGAGAAGAATCGATGAGCCAGAGTGCAGCCTCCTTTATGGCCGCGAGTTCCGCTTGGAAGACACTGCAGTGGTCTGGTAGCCTAAAGCTGAGATCTAGTGAGAGGTCCTTTGAGTGTATCCCACTCCCTACTCTCAGATTTAGTTTAGAGCCATCCGTGTATATGGCTGTTGCGTTACTTTGGGGGCCCCAGACCGAGTCTTCCTCCCAGTCCTTCCTTGAAGGGATACGTGTGGAGAACTTATTCTCGAGCACCATCGGTGGTGTTGTATAATCTGGGGACCTGAATGTGTCGGGGTAGTTGGTCAGGATGTTGGGATGACCGAATCTAGTGTCTTTCCATTTTGACACGCATTTAATCTTACTGCATTGTAGCTCGCCTGTAGCTTCCCAAAAAGGTCTACGGGCAGAAAGTTTAGAAGTGTTTGGTGGGTGTGGATGGCAGTGCACCTTTGATTAGCATGCATTCCGCCCTTTGAACCTTGGTAAGCTTAGAATTTGTGAGCGATTTACCCAATGATGTCCACCAGACTGATTCGCCGTAGAATAATATAGGACGTACCACTACTGTGTAAATCCAGTGAACTATGTGTGGTTTGAGACCCCATTTCTTGGCTATAGCCGTTTTGCAGGAGTAGAGGGCGGTAATGGCCTTTTTGGCCTGCTCTTCTACGTTGCGTTGCCAGGTAAGTTTCCTGTCTAAGATGACGCCCAAGTATTTCACTTCATCAGAGAGCGACAGCTCTACGCCATTTAAGGTAGGAAGTTGAAACGGGGGAATTTTTGTTTTCCGTGTGAAGAGAACCGTGGCCGTTTTAGCCGGGTTGGCGTTCAGTCCGCATTCTCTAGACCAGGTTTCCACGATATTCAAGGCGTTCTGCAACAGTTCTCCTAGGATTTGTGGGTGTTTACCTGTTGCAGTTAGGGCAAGATCATCGGCATACGCATTGGCGTTGCAGCCCGAGCCCTGTAAGCGCATGAGTAGGGTGTTTACCGTAAGATTCCAGAGGAGCGGTGAGAGTACACCTCCTTGAGGAGTGCCCCTTGTCGCATATCTTGTAATGTGAGCAACACCCATCGCCGAATAGATAGTTCTCCGATTAAGGAGAAGACTGATAAAGTCTACCAGTGATCGATCAAGTCCGATCTGGAGCATAGATGATGTGATCGCCTCTGGGAGCACATTATTAAAGGCCCCTTCCATGTCTAGAAAGATACCTAAAGTTAGCTGCTTGTATGCCAAGGATTTTTCAATATTGTAAACTATTTTGTGGATAGCGGTTTCCACAGATTTGCCTTTCGAGTAGGCGTGTTGGCAGTCAGATATATCCTTAGGATCCATCTTTTGCCGAATGAATGTGTCCAGTATCCTTTCCAGGATCTTTAGGAAGAAAGGAGAAAGGCTGATTGGTCGAAAATCGTTGGGCTTCACATGAGAGGCTCTGCCTCCCCTCGGTATGAAGACGACCTTCGCCAATGTCCATGCTTTTGGTATATTTCCCAGGTTGAGACAAGCCCTATAGATTACCGTTAGGTTGGGGCATAATATGTCAGATGCTTCTTGCAGCTCCGCTGGGAAAATTCCATCCAGCACAGGGGATTTGAAGGGTTTAAAAGACTTTATGGCCCTGTCCACATTCCTGTGGGTTATGATGGCTTCCCCCGCCGGAAATGGTCCTACCGTAGGGGACGCGTTACAGGCTTTGGTAATATGGTCCACTGCTTCTTAAATTTTTTCCGATGAATCTAGTCCACCGAGAGAAGCATACTGGAAGTCTACAGATTCCACTTCATCAGATGTTATCGGTAAGCGGGACTTACCGTGAGAAGCGCTTCTAAAAAGGAGGTCCGAGAGTATATTCCTGAACTTGTTCCAGTCGATTCGTCTCCTGTTTCTGTAAGCGACTGAAGATGATGGTTCGAAAGAGATCTTGAAATTTATGTATCTATGGTCGGAGAAGGAGTGGTCATTTGAGACATGCCAATCACTGATATTTTCTAGAAAGCTATCCGACACAAGGGAGATGTCTAGTACCTCCCTTCTGTTAGAGGCTACAAATGTTGGCCTACATCCGATATTACAAATTGCTAGGCTATTTGAGAAAATAAAATGGATAAGAGACTCACCCCATTTGTTAATGTCCGTGGATCCCCACAGCGAATTATGAGCATTCGCATCGGTACCTATAACGATGGGAAACTTCCTCTTGTTGGCCTCTTTCACAACTTCCCGCAACCGAGTCGGGGGATAAGTGGCGTGGTCGTGTGCCATGTACTATGAGACCAGCCAGAGTGGTTTGGATCGTACTTCCACGCTTACGCTCACCGTGTCCTCGTCACTGAACTGTGTGAGTAGAAGATAAGAAAAGTGTTTCTTTATTAAAATGCATGATCTAATCTTACCTGCCTCAGGGGCTGACAGGACATGATACGCATGAGAATTAAGTCCGCAAATCTTCTGGTGTACCACCCAAGGTTCCTGGACAAATATAAGCTCCTCTCCTCTTTCGTCTAGGTGCAGAGCAGCCGATGCTGCCTTCGAATGGTGGAGGTTATTCTGTAGGACCTTCACCACTGTCAGACATGCGTATAGTCTCGTCGTCCATTTTGTCCTGGCTGTCGTCCTTGAGTGCTATTACTGTTACGTCAGCATCCTCATCGTCCGAAGGCAGGAGTTGGTCCTCCGAGATCTCGATCCATCGACTGAAGACAGATCCTAAAAGGCCAGTCACGGAACTAGCGTCGCTGTACGTGCCTAAATATAACTCCTGGGTCTGGGTCTGGGTCTGAGTCTCCACTTGTCCGTCCAGGTTACCCTTGGACAGAGCTAACATACAGAGATATGCAATAAGAAAAATTCTTCTTGTATGGGAGGTGCTACGCCCGTATAAAGTCCCAGTACTCTACCATGAGCACTTCCAGAGATACTTATTATGAAAAATTCGGTTTGTATGGGAGGTGCCACGCCCCCTTTTCAAATAGTCCGAATTTTTCGTCGTAAGCNGATGGGAAACTTCCTCTTGTTGGCCTCTTTCACAACTTCCCGCAACCGAGTCGGGGGATAAGTGGCGTGGTCGTGTGCCATGTACTATGAGACCAGCCAGAGTGGTTTGGATCGTACTTCCACGCTTACGCTCACCGTGTCCTCGTCACTGAACTGTGTGAGTAGAAGATAAGAAAAGTGTTTCTTTATTAAAATGCATGATCTAATCTTACCTGCCTCAGGGGCTGACAGGACATGATACGCATGAGAATTAAGTCCGCAAATCTTCTGGTGTACCACCCAAGGTTCCTGGACAAATATAAGCTCCTCTCCTCTTTCGTCTAGGTGCAGAGCAGCCGATGCTGCCTTCGAATGGTGGAGGTTATTCTGTAGGACCTTCACCACTGTCAGACATGCGTATAGTCTCGTCGTCCATTTTGTCCTGGCTGTCGTCCTTGAGTGCTATTACTGTTACGTCAGCATCCTCATCGTCCGAAGGCAGGAGTTGGTCCTCCGAGATCTCGATCCATCGACTGAAGACAGATCCTAAAAGGCCAGTCACGGAACTAGCGTCGCTGTACGTGCCTAAATATAACTCCTGGGTCTGGGTCTGGGTCTGAGTCTCCACTTGTCCGTCCAGGTTACCCTTGGACAGAGCTAACATACAGAGATATGCAATAAGAAAAATTCTTCTTGTATGGGAGGTGCTACGCCCGTATAAAGTCCCAGTACTCTACCATGAGCACTTCCAGAGATACTTATTATGAAAAATTCGGTTTGTATGGGAGGTGCCACGCCCCCTTTTCAAATAGTCCGAATTTTTCGTCGTAAGCATGCGACTGATTTCATATATCTCCATACCAAGTTCCAGTACTCTACCATGAACATTTCCAGACATATACAGTATCAAAATTTAGGTTTGTATAGGAGGTGGTACGCCCCTTTTCCAATAACTCCAGTTTTTCTCCAAGAGTATGTGATTGCTTTCTATATTTCCGTACCAAGTTCCAAAATTTTACCATGAACGCTTCCAGAAATATGCTGTATAAAATATTCGGGTTGTATGGGAGCTACCACGCCCCCTTTTCCAATAGCCCCAATTTTTCTGCAAGAGTATGCGATTGATTTTATGTATCCCCATACCAAGTTTCAGTACTCTACCATGAACATTTCTAGAAATATGCAATATGAAAAATTCGATTTGTATGGGAAGTGCCACGCGCTCTTTTCAAATACCTCCAATTTGTATCCAAGAGTATGGGATTTATTTCGTATATCTCTATTCCGTTCCAATACTCTACCATAAATATTTCCAGAGATATAAAATATGAAAAATTCGACTTGAAGTGAGGTGCCGCGCCCGCTTTTCCAATAGGTCCAATTTTTCTCCAAGATTCCAAGATCGATTTCATATGCGCCAATACCAAGTTCCATTACTCTACCATGAACACTTCCAGAGATATGCAGTATGAATATTCGGTTTGTATGGGGGGTGCCACGCCCCCTTTTCCGATAGCTCCAATTTTTTTTCCAAGAGTATGCGATGGATTTCGTACCATGCCAAGTTCCAGCACTCTACATCGAACATTTCCAGAGATATGGAGTATGAAAAATTCGGTTCGCATGGGAGGTTCCACGCCCCTTTTATATATCGAAACTGTTTTTAGCCAATAACTATCCTTTGAACGTCTGCAGCAGGTCTCCGAAATTTCAAAAAAAATCGGTTCAGCCGTTCAGGAGCTTTGCGATATACATAGATGGATAAGAGTTGCTGCTTTTAATATTGCGCTCACTTACGTACAAAAAACATAGCAACAGGGTTTTATGCGTAATTATATACATACATATGTACATAAATATGCATATACAAATGTAAGTGCTAACAGCAATGTTAGTTGCTCCTTGTGTTAACATAAACGACTCTACAGACATAGTTGCCTACATTATTTCTCCATAAACTGTACGTTAACATTAGCACATGTATACATTACCCTTGCTTTGCGCTGTATTCCTTACGAATTAACAGCAGATGGCGCTCGCAGCGCTGTTATGTGGGCATGTATGTTTGATTCATAGAATTTTTAAAGTCCTGCATTTCCATTTTTAGGGAAGTATTTTAACCGTTTTTTTGCCTAAGACAATGAGAAGCCCATCCAGAACCTATAACCAAAATTTCAAAAAAATCGGTACAGCCGATCTCGAGCTTTGCGAACTTAAAAAAACGGCTTTCAAAATAGATATCAAAGGTTACAAAAATAATTATAACGAACTAGAAACTCTGTTAAAAAACAAAAACCGCAGATAATAACCTTACAAGAAACCCATATGAAAAACGACCAAATAGTACCCATTCCCATTAATTACACTATTCACACATCTACAAACCCACAAAACTCATTTGGGGGCACAGCCATACTTATTAGGCTGGGTCGATTTTGTATGGGGGAAAATAAAAGGCATTTGGCCGTATTGTAATAGTAATATTATGATGTCTTAGGTCTTAGCCAATTGTTATTGGCCACGAAAGATTTATTTAAAACTTGAGCCCGCGCAATTGAATCAAAGTGTACGAATTTTGAAAATTAAAGTTTGGCTGGTAATATCTATGGAATGCGTTAATTTTTATAAACAGGACGATATATTAAATTAAGGGTTATTAAATTTAGTACCTCACGTTCATTTATCATTTTTCAATAAGTCTTAAAGTTTTTAGGATATAAAGATAAAACTTACGAAAACTATAATTATCCCTTATGAATTTTCAATTGTTCATAACTTAAGCAACCAAATGAACAATACAAAAAGGTGAGACGAGATTTTTTTGCAAACGTTTCAATGTTTTCGGATGTTTATATAATATTAAAAGGACCATGGACTTGATCACGCCGAGTTGGCCAGTTTTCAAGATCCTGGTGAATGAAATCAAACATGTATTGTCAAAGATTATGATTCGTTTCATATGTTAATACCAGTTTCAAGCATATAAGTATTAAATATACATTAACATAATACAATTAGGGTGAGAAACGCCCATTTTAAGTCCATTTATGCAGTCTTGAAAATTGGTGCGGAATGGTTTCATTAGTCACCGAAGAAGCACATTTTTCGCGGTTTCTAAATTTGCCGTTATATGAAAGTAGGAGACGTGCAATAAGTATTTAGATATACATAGATATTTTAGTTAATTGCATTATGTTAAAAAGGATTTAACGTATCCTGGGAAATACTTTTGAGGACTCTCCAATTGGACGATAGTGCTTTGCATTCAGCTTGACCGAAAAAAGTCACTCCCTGGCACACTTTTATGTAACCCGACTCTTTTATCTAAAAGTTTTTTTATACAATTGAAGATACATAAAAAAAACTGGAGATTCACTTAAGGTTTTCGATATAACTTTGGTAAATGTTACTCGATCGGTACGTAGTAATTACAAAATTGAAGGCGAGACTTACTGTTACTGATTTATGATAATAATAGGATGAAAATCGTTCAGATTATAAACAAATTATAACAATTAAAAAAAACTAAACTAAATTTTTCCACGATGATGCAAAATAATGGCTTATCTATTAGAGCTACTGAAATTGTTCCTAAATTTGCAAAAATTCTAAAACTATAGCTAATATCAAAAAAAGATTAGAATATTTGGAACCAACAACCTAAATGCACGCCAGCAATATTAATGCTGTTCTTTACATCTTTTGACTATAGGCCAGT